CGAGATTAGGGTCTTATCCCCAGGCCTGACGGGATAGCCAGATCTTGAGGGCTGTGCGGAAGGTCTGGACGGTGGTGATGCCCTCTTTGACTAAATGCCAATAAGACCAGTGGCCCATTGGCTTTATCTAATTGAGCAGAATGAACTGCAGATTCTGTCTTCCACTGGGCTTCTAGATGTAGCTACGTCTTGGAAAAGAGGCATTTCCAATAGATGGGTTTTAATTAATTACCTCAGAATCTGTAATAATATTTTTTTTATCAGATTTATAACCAGTGGTGTCTCACAGCATCCTCCACATGAATGTGTGCGGTGCGCGCGCATGCGTCTTACCATCCAGCAACGCTTTTGCAAGCCTCTGTGATGCTCTAGCTGCTCGGCGGAGCATCGCGCAGGCACTGTATGTGCCATGCGCAGAAGCATTGAAGGGTTTAAAGACAGGTAAGGAGCGGGGGGGGCTTCGAAGCACCATACCGGAGCGGTACCCAGTGCTCCAGGCAGGCTACGGTACGCCCGTACTGGGGCACACCGCCTGCAACCCACCACTGTTTATAACCCATCTTTTTAGTCAAATTGAGCATTCACTGAGCACTCAGGCTGCTAAAAATAAATATACTACCATAATTATTAAAATAGAAAAAAAAAGAGATGGCTTAATCATGTCTTCTGCTGCCTGGTGGCAAGAAATATTATAAATTCTTCTTTTTCTGCATGTTGCCAGATCATAATAAATTGAACTGATATGAACAGGGAGAACTAGAGATACAGGAACGCTTGTCAATGTACAAGCGTCAATGAAACTTGGTAGAAACTTGCCCATGATCATCAGATAGTTTCTTCTAAAACTACAGGCCAGGGTGGGTTGGCCACCCTGTGTTTGAGTTCAAACACAACCCAGATGCCGCTCTCAATTAAATTGAGTTTGACACTCCTGCTATAATGGATTGTGCACTAAGCAATAAATTGAACTAGATGGCTTCTTTTATCCCTTCTAATTTTAATATAATATGACAACTTTTATCATAGGATAATTCCAGGACTTTTATTCTATTATTAAAATTGTTGTTGTGTATGTATATGCATAGGTATATCTTTATGTAACTATCCATTTACAAAGAACCCAATTTACTATTATTCTATTCTTTTATTAAAATTGTTGTTGTGTATGTATATGCATAGGTATATCTTTATGTAACTATCCATTTACAAAGAACCCAATT